GGATATGCGGGTGTTGTGTAGGGGTGATAGGAATGACCGGATTGAACTGTGCAAAGCGAGACATATTCACCTCCTGCGTGAGTATTGTCTCTTGTGCAAAGCCTTAAGATCTTAAGAAACAGCATCTGTGTCTTAGTACGTCAGATGTCACCACACCCCCACACACACGCCTATCTACACGCCCACACACACCTGATCACATTACTGTGTCTCATGGCTATACCTGGCTTCTTATTTGAGTGTGTCCCCTTTAAAAGTGACCTATTGCCACACTGCAGCCAGAGGTCATGGGCCTCATAGTGATGTGGTGTGGGTGTGGTGTGGGGTGTGGGTTGTGGGTGTGTTAGTGGTGTGGTGTGGGTGTGTGTGGTGTGGGGTGTGGGTGGGTGTGGGTGGTGGGGTGTGGGTGTGTTATTGGTGTGGTGTGGGTGTGTGTGGTGTGGGTGTGGTGTGGGGTGGTGTAGGGTGTGGGTGTGGTAGGGGTGTGGGTGTGGGTGTGGTAGGGGTGTGGCTAGTTTCTGCTTAAGAAAAATATTGGAGAAATAATAGGTCAAAATAATTACAGTTTGCTCCATTTGTTATTGGGATACGGGTCTCGGGTCAGGTACTGGGCCAGTTAGCCGTCATCTTGTCCCCAGTACACGCTTCCCCCAGTCATATTCTGCCACACAAGTCCCCCCCCCAGTAACTGGGGTAATGTAGCGGTGCCCAGTCGCTCCCACCGTCTCCAAGATGCAAGCTATAAAAGTCCTATGAATAATTCCCATTTACACTTCCGTGGAATTAAACATTCCATTCACCTGGTAAGTGTTGTAGTCCAGTTGAGAGTCGAATAGCGTGATTGGTACCTCACATCTGATTACCTGAAGCATCTGAATTGGGTTTTCCCTGACCTCACATGGTACCACCTCACAGGCGGCCTGAGGAAGCCCAAATGATTCCGTAATTGTAGCGGTAATTGGGTGGGAATCTGTTGGTTATTGTTTCAACACAGGAATATCATTTATGTCAATCAATGTGTCAAGTGCTAAAGCAAGATGTCAACTAATACGCTTATGTGTGTTCTTTTTTTTTCGCAGCCATGCCAGTCAGACGTCGTCATGGTTACCTCCTCTGGAGAACTGGGATACGGGAGGCTTATCCCTCCCCTACGGCTGGGAGGCTGCCACCGATAAGGAGGGCAAGCAGTATTTTATCAAGTAAGTTCAACCTCTTTTGCTGTATTTATATATATGGGGTTAGACATATATGACTGAGATTGGGTGGATATAAATTAGAGCTGCATCGTATGGGCCAATAGGCCTTCTGCAGTTATCTTCATTCTTAGAACAAAGGCAACTGCAGAAGACCTATTGGCCCATACGAGGACATACATTCTTATGTTCTTATATATATATATATATATATATATATATATATATATATATATATATATATATATATATATATATATATATATATATATATATATATAGTAGGATGGACGGTGATTGATGGCTCTCCCTCGTCACACACACACACACACACACACACACACACACACACACACACACACACACACACACACACACACACACACACACACACACACCACACGCTGTTTCTGCTTGGATTTTGTTTGTCAAAGTTGGATTGGACGAGGGTCAGAGGGGAGAGTGAAGGGAAGGAAACTGTCCAAGAGAAAGCGCCAAGCCACTGCGACTATATAGCACTGGGAAAGGGGGGTCAGGATAAGGATTTTGGGATGGGACGGAGGAAATGGTGCCCCAGCCACTTGTGGACGGTCGGGGATTGAACGCCGACCTGCATGAAGCGAGACCGTCGCTCAACCGTCCAACCCAAGTGGTTTGGAGTATGGGAGTAAGAGAGAGAGAGAGAGAGAGAGAGAGAGATAAATGAACGACCTGATGAGTTACGGAACTATTACAACGTCTCTCTGGAGTCGGAAAGTATCATGTTATCCTGAATGAGTCAGTAGGGTGCATGTTTACCATCCGGGGGGGGGGGGATTTAAAGAGGATGTGTGTGTGTGTGTGTGTGTGTGTGTGTGTGTGTGTGTGTGTGTGTGTGTAGGGGCTGCTCCCACCCGCTCATTCATAAACTTGAAGGGGGCAGTTTCATGCATTAAAACTGCCCCCCCCCCCTCGGCCATTCCCAGATTTACGGTAGAGGGGGCGTAGACCCCCCTCGAGTAACGGCAGTCATTGTGTACTCTGTCCCTGCACTCTTGAGTACGATGGGTGGGGAGCACTCTTTCTTCCCCTCCCCCTGCCCTTCACGCTAGAGCACCCTTGCTTGGTCGTCTTGTTAACGGTGATGTGCACTCTTGGGGTCTTTGTGTGCACTCTTGGGGGGTCTTTGTGTGCACTCTTGGGGGGTCTTTGTGTGCACTCTTGGGGGGGTCTTTGTGTGCACTCTTGGGGGGTTCTTTGTGTGCACTCTTGGGGGGTGTTTGTGTGCACTCTTGGAATTATCGTACATCCTTAAGATCCTTGTATTTCCTTGTGATCGTTGTATAATATACATTTTTACAGTGTATATATATCATACCTGTATACATCGTATACATCAACCTACCAACCCGGCTCCACCAGGTATACATCATTCATACATGACGCATACTTCAACTCGTGCACCTTATGACGAAGTATATAATGGTATAACAGGTAAATCAGGTCTACCTCACATTAGCATACATCATACACACACACACTTCACCTCAAAACATCTGCCGGTGAGTTACCCCTCATCATACTCATGCATCATGCACGCTTCACAGTCAGCTGAATCATTCCCTAGCCACTGCTGGCCCATCCATTTGCTGTGAGTTAATTAACGAGGCTGTGTGTATATTTATACACGGCAGGGGTACGAAAATCTCTGGGGTGTATGTGTATGTGTGTATGTGTGTGTGTGTGTGTGTGTGTGTGTGTGTGTGTGTGTGTGTGTGTGTGTGTGTGTGTACTCACCTAGTTGTGTCTGCAGGATCGAGCATTGACTCTTGGATGTGTGTGTGTGTGTGTGTGTGTGTGTGTGTGTGTGTGTGTGTGTGTGTGTGTGTGTGTGTGTGTGTGTGTGTATGTATTTAGTATTTGTGCCTGCAGAATCGAGCATAAGAGACTCCAGCTCTTGGACCCCCGCCTTTCTGATTGATTTGTTTTCCACTACTGCCCAAACTGGGGCCGGGTTTTGGGGGAGTAGAAGAACTCCTAGAATCCTATCTAGGTACAATCTAGGTACTGCAGGGAGTACTTTTGATCACAAGTGGCGCTGCCAAGTGTTATATTATCCATGTGGGTACTTACATATTAGCTACACACACACCACATAGCACCACATAGCTTCACATCACACTAATAAACCCCACGGATTAGGGGGGACCACATACTCTTAATATGATAGCAGTGCCAAAGGTCATTATATTAACTGATATCATTAACAATTTGCCAAAGGAAATGCTAGGTAATGTGAGAGACTTGAGAGGGAAGGAAGAGGTATGCCTCTACTCGGAGAAGTAACAGGGTCTTGTAAGGAATATCCTATTCGGAGGCAAGTAACTATAAGGACTACATCTAGGGAATCATTTCAGTAACTGGTGGTCGTGGATGTGATCTACACCTCCCTGGAAACCCACGAAAGAGTTGAGATCAAAATTCCTTGTGATGGGAGATTTCAATCGTGGAAAAAATTGACTGGGAAAAATATGAACCCGAGAGGAGGAAAAATATCCGGTGGGAAACATGAAAGGATGGAGAAAACTGGTCTTTTCACAGACCAAGATGTGCAGTGAAAATATTAATTATGAAATATCAACAGGAGACAGTGATACAGTGTTCTAGTTTAATTATTATAGCAATAAAGGCCATAGAATTAGGTATATATAGGAAGAGCCAAAAGATAGAAAATCCAAAGATATGCAACAACATTGCATACTCACCCGTTCGTGAGCTGAAGGGCCTGAGCTACAAGGAAAGACTCAGGCAAACGAACTTCACCACACTATAAAAGATATGGGGAGACACACACTTGAGAAGTAATAGGGGAGACATGATAATGACATTCAAGATTCTAATGGGAATAGACAAAGTAGACAAAAGCAGCATTGTCCATATCAGGAACATCAGAACGAGGGTTATAAGAAACTATATACACAAATGAGTCGTAAAGATGCCAGCAGGAACTCCTTCAGAGTTAGATCCAGTAATAAGTGAAATAGCTGAGACGTGGAAGTCATTAAAACTAATTCATAACAAATTATTAAATGTAAATATGTAAAAAAGTGGGAATTAGCCCCATTACATTAGTTTTAGAAGACCTGGGCTCAATCTCCGAGCTCGTCTCCCCTAGGAACGTCTAGCTAACTACACATATACATCTTCTTCTTGAGGTTATCTTGTGATGATTTCGGGGCTTTTTCTAGTGTCCCCGCGGCCCGGTCCACGACCAGGCCTCCACCCCCAGGAAGCAGCCCGTGACAGCTGACTAACTCCCAGGTACCTTTTTACTGCTAGGTAACAGGGGCATTTAGGGTGAAAGAAACTTTGCCCATTTGTTTCTGCCTCGTGCGGGAATCGAACCCGCGCCACAGAATTACGAGTCCTGCGCGCTATCCACCAGGCTACGAGGCCCCGTACATAGAATTAAACAAATATTAACATAGACACTAAAAAAAAATTAATCCCAATTTACAAACAAGGAGGGGGAATAAACTCCACTTTATTCCCGAGGGTGTAAATGTTTCTTCCCCTCTCCCCCCCCCCCCCCCCCCCCCCCGAAATATTCATGACTGTAATTCCGCCTGCCAATTTGAAGACCCTAACAGCCCAATTAACTTTTTCTGTTATCTCGTTATTATTTAATTGGAATTAATCGTTCCGGGGAATTATTTTTTGAAGAAAGGAATTATTTTGTGGGAGTTAATGGTTCTTCTTGTTCAATGATCTTGTTCATTTGTTCTCAAATGTTCCGTTTAATGGGAATGGTGTTAGGGTTATTTTATGACGGTGGTGTTGAGAATAGAAGAACCAGGAGAAAAGAGGCAGGAAGTTACCAAGTATCTATATCTATAGAAGCTACCAAGTATCTATATCTATAGAAGTTACCAAGTATCTATATCTATAGAAGCTACCAAGTATCTATATCTATAGAAGTTACCAAGTATCTATATCTATAGAAGCTACAAAGTATCTATATCTATAGAAGTTACCAAGTATCTATATCTATAGAAGCTACAAAGTATCTATATCTATAGAAGTTACCAAGTATCTATAGCTATAGAAGTTACCAAGTATCTATATCTATAGAAGTTACCAAGTATCTATATCTATAGAAGTTACCAAGTATCTATATCTATGGAAGTTACCAAGTATCTATATAGAAGTTACCAAGTAACTATATCTATAGAAGTTACCAAGTATCTATATCTATAGAAGTTACCAAGTATCTATATCTATAGAAGTTACCAAGTATCTACACAGAAGTTACCAAGTATCTATTTCTATAGAAATTACCAAGTATCTTCATCTATTCAAGAGACTGTCTCTCTATCCACGGCTGGAGACCAGATACTAAGAGCTAGATTCACCCAACTTTTCAAGATGACACATTGGGGGGTATTTGAGTGTCATAGGCTGGTTGGGGTCGACCACACTGCCCCCCCCCCCCCACTAAAAGAAATATCGGCGCCTACGCCTCAAACACTCTACGGAAACCAAATTCCCGATTTCAGACTTCATCAAAATAGCACCGGGGGGGGGGGGAAGGGGGGTATATTTACCTGCAGTTTACCTAGATAGGGTTGTCAGAGTTCTACAACTCACCCAAGCTCATTCAGGGGCCAGGCTTGACGTGTGATAACTTGATCTAGCAGGCTGTTGGTGGTCTGCAGGCCCACATAATGCACTGTAAGCAATTGAGTCATTGTCCAAATATCCCGAATTCGATTCCCAGCCGAGGCAGAATCAAATGTGCAGTGTTTCTTTACTGCTAGGTGAACAGGGGCATCAGGTTAAATAGGTAGCTGCGAATTTAGACAGCTGCAACGGGATGCATCCTGGGGGATATGTGTGTGTGTGTGTGTGTGTGTGTGTGTGTGTGTGTGTGTGTGTGTGTGATTTAGAGAAATATATTTAGTAGATATAGAGAAAAATAGGTTTAGAATTATTAGACAACCGACGGTTAGAAAGGCGGGGTCCAAGAGCTAAATCAAAAGCACACACACACACACACACACACACACACACACACACACACACACACACACACACACACACACACACACCCTGTACGAAACGGGTGGTCTTGTCTGTTCGTCTCTTTATGACCACTTAGTAACCCCCTCAAGGCCCATATCCGCTTCCCCGTTTCAGGTCATTCAGATTCGACTCCTGACGAACCTCTGCCCACTTAGGGCCCTTAAAACTGGCTATTGGAGGCCATTTCGAACTAAGTGGTGACAGTTTTAGGAGTTTAAATTCGACATCATCGATGGTATGTCGTGGCAGGTGGATCGTGGACCCCCTCCCCTGACCCCACTCCCTGACCCCACTCCCTCAGCCCCTGCAGACGACCCCCTGAACAACTTCCCACCCATCGACCATCTCCCTGACCACCTGTCTTGCCTTTCAGTCACCTGAACAAGACGACCACCTACGAGGATCCGAGGAAGGATTACTTGGACGACCCTCCCCAGCCTCGTCAGGTTGACCTCGTTCGAGACCCCGAAATGGGCTTCGGCTTCGTCGCCGGCTCCGAGAAGCCTGTCATCGTCAGGTGAGTCTCGCTCTTGAAGCCTGTCTCTCTCTCTCTCTCTCTCTCTCAAGCTTCTGTTCCAAAGACTCTAAAAAAGCTTGAGTTCCTTTTGAAGCCTTTCTAAACTTTCTTTCTAAAGCTTCCATGAACCTCTTCACTTCCACCTTGTTATTCTCTGTTTTGCAATGTTTTTTCTTGTGAACTTCCCACAGTATAAATGTTCAACGGTCTATGAATCAAGTTCTGTATTGATTGGTTGATTGGTTGGGTAATTACTTTGAGGTCTGTACTAACGCCCAATCGCTCTCGTAATGGATGCCAGGGGTATCTATAGGAGGGAAAGTTTTCTTTTCAGACTTGGCCATATATTTAGACAATGCTAACCAGGGTATATATATATATATATATATATATATATATATATATATATATATATATATATATATATATATATATATATATATATATATATATATATATATATACCACTACATACACAGGGGATTGTAGTGGTAATCAAGCCCAGGGGATTGTAGAGGTAATCAATCACAGGAGATTGTAGTCTTAATCACAGGGGATTGTAGTCCTAATCACAGGAGATTGTAGTCATAATCACAGGGGATTGTAGGGGTAATCAATTACAGGGAGGATAGTTGTGCTAATCAGTATTCATTCTTGCCTATCGTGCACAGATTTAGAGATCTGTTCTGCGACGTAGTGTACAGTTGCTTGATGAGCATTCAACTACAGGTAAGTGGAATTGGGGGGGGGGAGGCGGTTGTAGGCCTAGAGGCCTTCCTGAAAGTTGTGGTGCTAGAAGGACTTATTAATGTCAGGTAGGAATTATTTTGTAGTATATTTGTAGTATATTCGTCAGTGCTTTTGTACTCTTCATGTTCTCGCTCTGAGCATACTCCAAAATCCCTTTTTTTTAAGAATATGACGACATACCTGATCTGAGAAAACCTCAATATTTCCGATCTAAGAACACTCCGATATTCCCTCTCCAATCACTTGGACTGGACGGTAGAGCGACGGTCTCGTTTTATGCAGGTCGGCGTTCAATCCCCCGACCGTCCAAGTAGTTGGGCACCATTCCTTCCCCCCCCCCCTCCATCCCATCCCAAATCCTTATCCTGACCCCTTCCCAGGGATATAGAATCTTAATGGCTTGACGTTTTCTACTGATAATTCCATTCCTTCCCGATGATCTCGATCAAGGAACGTTCCTGTCGGACCGAGCTCTCACACGTCAAGCAGAAGAACTCTCAGAACCTCATCCAGGTACAATCCAGGTACTCCGATATTCCCGATCTAAGAAGGGGTTACTTCACGCCTGAGACGTCTCGGAAGATAATCAGGACGTTGAAAGGTTTTCTGAAATCCCAGACGCTGGTGCAGAAGTGATGGCACGAATATGGATCTGGCACTCTGTATGGCACCAGGGCTGGCACTCTGGATGGCACCAGGGCTGGCACTCTGGATGGCACCAGTGGTGGCACTAAAGGCGGCACTATGGACAGACCCAATTCATCCTCGGTGAATTACTGAACTCTGAAATGTATCATCAGATGATTGAATCCACCTGAAAGCCCTGATTCTGAAGACCGTCCCTGAAAGCCCTGATTCTGAAGGCCATCCCTGAAAGCCCTGATTCTGAAGGCCATCCCTGAAAGCCCTGATTCTGAAGACCATCCCTGAAAGCCCTGATTCTGAAGACCATCCCTGAAAGCCCTGATTCTGAAGGCCTCCCCTGAAAGCCCTGCCGCCAAGCCTTCTCAGGGCTCGAAGCAGGGCTTCTCAGGGCTCGAAGACCTTATGACAAAGCTGTAACTATCGCCACCAATTGGGGGCCGCCAAAGACCTGGTTATTGCCGACTTCAGCGGGAAACGACTCTCTTAAATTTAAGCTAATTCTCTCTGACTGAGTCTGGGGAGGGATTCGAACCCGTGTGTGTGTGTGTGTTTTGGTGGCCCTTGGTAATTGTGTGAGGGATAGTGCCAGGGATGTGGCTCCCTTGTGGCACTGGGGACAGGGAGGGAGAGAGGGGGGGGTGTTAACGAGAGGGTGGTGGAAAGGACGTTGTAGAAAGGTTTCAAGATGAGGGAAGGGATAGGCGATGGGCGTCTCGCTGGGAAGGATAGGACAGATGCCTTATAGAACGGGACGGTGGAGGAAGGAAGGAACAGGAGGATGGAAGAGAGGAGGAGGGGAATCGACTTATCGACAGACTACTCTATATAGAGCACTCTTTAAGGCTCTTGTCAGACCGGTCCCTGTCCTTAGGTCCGGGTGCTGCTGCCTCGCCATAGTTCCTCTCACCCCCTCCCCCCTCTCGACCCTCCTAATGCCTCGCCACAGTTCCTCTCACCCTCTCCCCCCTCTCGACCCTCCTAATGCCTCGCCACACCCCCCCCCCCTTCCCCCTAGTGTCTCGCCCCCTCACCCCTCTTCCTCCCCCCCTCCCAAACTCCCTGATGCCGGGGTTCACCCTGTGGTCACCCCTTTGGGCTTTCCCTTTGATGTTTGCTGAGAATTACTGATGTAAAGTGGGGAATATCCTTCTTCCCCCTTTCCCCCACTTTCCTGAGCCTAGCCGCCCCTCCCAGCTACTAGGAAAGGCTGAGATTTATCATCCTCCCAGCTGCTGGGAGGATACCTTCCCAGCTCCTAGCATAGCTGGCAACACTGCAGAAACTAAATAGGTTTCGTTCCATTATTTTTCTTAACTGAGAGATGGCAGTATTACCACGTGAGAGAGACAGATGTTGAATTCGTGTTCCTGGGAGCCGATTTGTGGTGAGGGGAAGTGGGACGCCATGTTTCCCCTCGGAAGTGGGACGCCATGTTTCCCCTCGGAAGTGGGACGCCATGTTTCCCCTCGGAAACTGTATCTTGTTCATCTTAGGACGCACATCATACAGCTGAAGCTTGGCCCACTTACAGTCCATACGTAAATACATCCGAAAAAATCATGATCTTCTAAGATGTATTAATATACGAAAGTACTTAAGGAAATTCCTGTTTCAATTTTTCTCCGTGGTCTGACAGTCATATATATATATATATATATATATATATATATATATATATATATATATATATATATATATATATATATATGCGAACAAGCCTGAATGGTCCCCAGGACATATGCAACTGAAAACTCACACCCCAGAAGTGACTCGAACCCATACTCCCAGAAGCAACGCATCTGGTATGTACAAGACGCCTTAATCCACTTGACCATCACGACCGGACAAAATGAGGTGATAGCCGAGGCTATCACCTCATTTTGTCCGGTCGTGATGGTCAAGTGGATTAAGGCGTCTTGTACATACCAGATGCGTTGCTTCTGGGAGTATGGGTTCGAGTCACTTCTGGGGTGTGAGTTTTCAGTTGCATATGTCCTGGGGACCATTCAGGCTTGTTCGCATTTGTGTTCCTCACGTGTTGCCCCAAAGAATGAGGTGATTTGGTAAAATGCTATGCCCAAGATAACTATCCGAGTGCCGGCGGTGGGGTGGTTCAAATAGCCTCGGCTATCACCTCATTTTGTCCGGTCGTGATGGTCAAGTGGATTAAGGCGTCTTGTACATACCAGATGCGTTGCTTCTGGGAGTATGGGTTCGAGTCACTTCTGGGGTGTGAGTTTTCAGTTATATATATATATATATATATATATATATATATATATATATATATATATATATATATATATATATATATACCAAATACAACTCGATACAATGGGTACCACTGTATAGAGCGTTTGGATTCAGGAAAGACCTGGGTAAATATTGGTTTGGCAAGAGGATTGTCGATTTACGGAACAAATTACCGGATAAGATAGTAGATGTGGGATCTCGATCTGGGTTGTTTCAGGCGTAGGTTAGACACAAGAGTCGAGTTTGGGTGGACATAAATAGGAGCTGAATCGTATGGCTTGTTGCTGTTTTAGATTCAGCAACTGGCAACAAAAAGTTCCAAAGTAGCACGGACTATGGCGAGCCCGTAGTAGACTTTTGTGCTCGTGTGGGATAATAAGCCTTCAGTAGCAGCCTTCTCTTATGTAGATTAATTTTCTGATAGACACAAGGGGAAAAAAGTTACTACGGATAATCCGGATGGCAATCCGGATAATTGAAAATTCGCATAACATAAATTATAAGCATAATCCATGAAACATACACGTCTTAAACATACAACACCTGCCACTCGTGTCTTACCAAAACACCTAAACACACGAAATCAAACATAGCCAGGTGTGTACCAGAGAGTAGAGAGAGAGAGAGAGAGAGAGAGAGAGAGAGAGAGAGAGAGAGAGAGAGAGAGAGAGAGAGAGAGAGGAACACACTATACTGATGCTCACGTGTCAAAGGCCAGGCAGACAAATGGCCAAGAGGACAGCAATAGAGGAAGGGGAGAGGCATTTCAAAACAATATTCTGGGATGGTTACAGTGCCTCCTCTCTCTCTCTCTCTCTCTCTCTCTCTCTCTCTCTCTCTCTCTCTCTCTCTCTCTCTCTCCTCTCTCTCTCTCTCTCTCTCTCTCTCTCTCTCTCTCTCTCTCTCTCTCTCTCTCTCTCTCTCCCATAGTGACGCCACAATGCCCTTGTCGGGGGCAAGAATGTGATACATGATTGCAATAGTACGGGTGTTAATGCCTTATTGCTTGTAGTAGGGGCGTGTTGTGGTGCGTGGCATATGTTGTTCATCAACAGATGAACAACAGGAGAGAACATAACTAATGAACATCAACCAGAACAACCGACGAACAGAAACCTAGCGACAAGTTAAGGGTTGTACCAACAGATGAACAATTAAGGGCCCGAGGAACAACAGTAATTGAGGGCCGTGACCACTGGGGTTGTACCATAAATGTTAAGTACACATTACTGCGAGCTCGGGCAGGTGAACAGCCCCAGACGACTGTGGTGGTGGTGGTTGTGTGGTGGGGGAGCAGCCAGGCCGTCTGTATGCCTGTTCCGGAAACAGTTGCAGAAGTAACAGCAGCAGTAATAGCAGCAGCTGTGACGTGTTATGGTGTCATCAGCAGTGCAGGAGCAGCAATTATAGCAGCAGTACCACCACCACTACCACCACTACCACCAGTACCACCACTACCACCACTAACAACCTTCTCCCCTGCATTAGTATCGCCACTTGGAGTTGAATCGGTACTTTCCAATGTTTTAAATTAACGCCTTCAAATTTAGCGAGGAATTCGCCCAAGTCTTCGTTGTCTAATTCCCTGTTTGACACGAGCCGCCCGTCCACCTCTGTTGCTCCTCTCTCCCCTCTGTTGCTCTCCCCCCTCTGTTGCGCCTCTCCCCTCTGTTCTCTCTCTCTCACCAGTCCCCCCCTGACCCGGCCGGGAGACACGCCAGCGACGATGCCGTGGCAAGAATTTACTCAAATTATAATTTATATATTATAATTTATATATTATAATTCACTTAAACTACAGATTGACAAATTATAAACAGCCTTAAGCAAACTTGAGATGATTCCGTGAGATTGTCACGCACACGAGGCCACTCTCACACACGGCTCTAGTCACGCAGTAACTTGACTAGCCTGCAGGGCTGCAACATAGTCACTCGTCTTTAAAACAGTGTTGCAATGACTGGAAAATCTGGCTAAGTCAGGAATCTCATCTCAAAAGTCCACAGATTATGAAATCTGACGAAGTCCAGAATCTGGAATGGAAGTCCCCCAAACTGCTTAAGTAATATTGTAAGTCACGC